ATTAATACCTACAGTGTCTAAATCGCAGCCATTTTTTTTTTTCAATTTGCTTAAATTCATCCCAGGCTCATTATTGATACGTACCCCTATATACATTTCTGGAGATTGCAAAACACATCCCAAGAGGTACATTATTTTGCAATTTTTGTTTTTACGAATCCACTGCTGTGTACGCATTTTCAGATCTGAAATTTCTCTTGAGAGTTGCATTCGCGCCTGCTTTTCTTGACTAAATCCAGCAGAGGCCGCTGTTGACTGACCAACCGATCCCCCCACCAACCCCCTTCCCTAAACCCAACAGATAGTGCTTTCAAAAGCACACAATGACCCGATCACCCCCTTCCTTAAACAAAACTGACAGTGTTTTTTTTAAAGCAATCCAGAAAAAGAAAAACCCTTACCTGATTTTTACCACATTTTCAGATCTTATCACATTCTCACCCTGTTATTTACTTGTTCTCACCCTATTATTTACTTGTTCAGTTTATTTTTTGCCTTTTGTTCTTGTTTTACCTGCTTTCTGGACTTGAACCCTGTTTTTGCATTTAACTCCTCTCTGCATATGAAGTTCGGCAACATACATGGTAAACTACTGAACAAAAAAACGGAAAAGCCATCCACACAGAGGTAAGCAGTCAGCTGGTAGCGCTAAAAGATACTGAAGCCATTGGCGGCTTCATACCGCCCCGTAGTGTTTGTTTTAAAGATGAAATTCAGCCATACGTAGCTCTGGCTACATAATTAATGCTCTCTAGAAATGTATACAGGGTTACATTTTCACAATGAGCCTGTGTTGCTTGAATTTGTAAAAACAATTTGATTAACTTACTTCACTTGTGTTGGGACAACACAAAGGAATTATGTGAAACCCAGCATTTTTTAGAATGTGTACATTAAAGGATTCACCCAAAAATGAAAAATCTCTTATTATTTACTTTAACAATTTAATTTAATTTGTATTTTTTATTTTATTTTATTTTATTTTATTTTATTTTATTTTATTTTATGAGATCACAAAATTTTCCATGGGGCTTTGCATTATTACAGTAGAAGCACTGAGATCACATGGAATGGAATATTTTGCCTTTTTTTGAATGTTTTGTGTTGGTTACTCTTGGACATATTGTTTAAACCAGTGGTTCTCAAACTGTGGTATGTGTACCACTAGTGGTACGTGGGCTTCCTCCTAGTGGTACGCGGAGGAATCGCCAAATAATGAAATAAACAATTAACATTTTTAATCCTTTGATGCATATTATAACATCGATGTGGTCAGGATTGGCTTTTTTGTGAAGCGTACGATCACAATGCTGTGCTTAGAATGTTTATTTTAGTGCAATGTGTCATAAGCTGCTGAAAATCAGTTTCCGAAGTTTAAGAATTGATACTGAAGAGTGATTTGACTGACATGAAAAGTGGCCAATCACAGTCAACCCTGTCTAGTTTTGCGTGAAACGTAAGGGCGGGACAAAGGCTTTCTGTGTTGCAGAGACAGAAAAAACAGCTTAAAAACAAATGTTTTGTTGGAATAATGCTTCTTGGAAGTTTTCACTATAGAGATGTCTAGCAGAGTTATTATACTGCGGACATATTTCCTGCCTATTTGATGATCTACATACACGTTTCGCTCTCCGACAGCGAGTCGACTCGCCTGACCTGACACTCCTCTAAATATATTCTGAATGGCGGCGTGGGAATGGAGGTATTACGCAATTACTAATTTCTGCAAATGTGGCGAGTGCATTATTTTAACACGAGAGCGCATTAATGTACGCAAGTCACTAAAACAGATATGCGAGCTCTTAAATAGGCTTTTTTCAAATGAACTGTAAGTGCTCTCATGATCGCCTGTGTGCTCAGATTGAATACAATCGCGATCTTTTCACTATTAAAGTAGACATTATTTATCTTAGCTCCTTTACTAAATTTAGTCAAAAGTATTCAAAGTTATCAAGTATTTAGAATTAGATTGATGCATGATCGATGACAATGCTAATGGTCTTCTTATTTGGCTGTATTGTGAAGTGAAACTTACTTTTAGCAGAGGTGGAACTTTTTTATTTCTTTACGACAAACGAATTATGCTGGAAATGTTTCTGGATGAGGTATTTGTGTGATTTACACATTTAGCTGTATTCTGATCTGTCTTAAAGCATTACAGGTCAAAACAATCCGTTGTTACTTATTGTTTATTTGTCCAAATTAACAATAAGGCTCTTAAAGTACTGCTTTGATAAATGTATTGTTGTCATATTTCAAATACCTCAAGTAAAATGAAGTCATTTGTTTATTTTTTTTTACTGACAGTGTACTTGTATTTTTTTTTTTGTATTTTAGTTTAAGATCAAGTGTAAAATAAAATCTACATGTGATGTACAGCTATTTAAGAAACAAATTTGCCATATTGTAAAGAAAAATAGTGTAAATTTCATAATGAAAATCTGATTTTTTTTTCAAAAGTAACCAACTAGTACTTATTAAAAGAGTACTTTGTACTTTTACCTAATATTAGTATTATTTACTAAAATTTGTGTTATTTTAGCAGTGTAATAGTATTTTTACTTGAGTACAAATAAAGATTTCACAAGCATTTAGGTTTATTATATTATTAATATATGATTAATACATATTATTATTATTATTATTAATGGTTTTTATTTGTATCTATTCCTATATAATGTTTTATGGGTTGCTGACAATACATTTCAGGTCTTCAATACATAGCATGTTAGTCTTGGAAAAAAAATAGGTGCTGGATTTGATTTTCATTAGGCTGTGCCTGTATGAACCCTGTCATATGTATATTTAACATAAATATATTTCAAGATTTGTCTGAAAGTGTATGAAAATGATAAATAGCCTATATTTATAAGGTCCAAGCAACATTTCCAGCTTTTGATGAATAGGCTACTATGAAAACTTTAGATTTAAGTACAGCAGTTTTCTTTTTACTTTTTAAGAACAGTGCCATTTTTTAATAAACTTTTAAAAGCACATTTTAACTAAAACGTCTTTTTTTTTACCTGCAAGCACAGTTAATGTTCAGACTATTTAAAATGTTTAAAGTGACTGAAAATAATACATATTTTTAATAATAGGAATTAATCTGCATCGTTTTTAAACTGTGCACACTTGTAGCTGCTTAACTAGGCCTACAACGCTATTTTTTTAATACTGGTTAAAAATTAGCGTTGTAAGGTGGTACTTGGAGAGATAATTTTTTTCTAAGGTGGTACTTGGTGAAAAAAGTTTAAGAAACACTGGTTTAAACTGTTACACATTTGTGAATGAAAGCGCCGAACTTAACTGTGTAAAAAAGTTTAAAGTTAGATGTGCTTGGTTGCTTTGCAGTGGGGCCTGTGATGCCTGCAGCAGATTCCCAAAGTCAGCACAAATCAGACAGGAAAGGTACTGTCAAACAAAGACACTGTATCAGACCAACAGGCCAGCGATTGTGTTGCTCTGCATGTGACTAAAGCTCTGTCTGTGTGCATGCTTCTGTGTGTGTGCGTGTGTGTGTGTGTGTGTGTGTGTGTGCGTGTGTGTGTGTGTGTGTGTGTGTGTGTGTGTGTGTGTGTGTGTGTGCGCGCAGGTCTGTATTGGGTGTAAGTTTACAGCTGTGCATTATGTATGTGAATTCTTTTGTGTAGATGCGTTCTTGTGTGGCTACCATGCTTGGCTGTTGCCTGTTCAAAGGTATGTCCATCTGTTTCTAACCATCAAACAGTCTTTCCTTCTGTTGAATCATGACGTCACAGGACCCCTTGTCAAATTTAATAACTTACATAATACTGTACTTTTACATTAATGCATATATATGTATGTATGTATATATACAGTATATATATATATATATATATATATATATATATTTTTTTTTTTTTTCTTAAGAACAATGCATATCACAGATAACATATTGCTGAAGCAGTATTTAATGTTACTACTGTAGCATATTTAGGATATGGCTAACGTGTATAAGCATGCTTATTTGGCTATATTTTGTATTGTATTTTGCTAACGTTTTATAGCATGTTTACATAAACATTATGTTTTAGCATGCAGCATGAATTAGCCACCATACAAGTGAAAGTCAAAATCCAGAAACCTTTTGTAATAAACAAAGTGTGTAATATAAAGGCAGAATGTGGGGGTTGCACAACGTAGGTGAAGAGCAGGGGAAGTGCAACGTATGTGAAGAGCTGGGGGGAGAAGCGCAATTTGCAGGAGATTATCATTCATTTGCAGGCATCCCTATGCATATGCGGGAGACTCCCGGAACTTCCGGGAAACTTGGGATGTCTGACATTTAATAATGCAGGGTTATTGCTGTTTATGGAGGATAAGAGAGCTCTCGGATTTAATTAATTAAATCATTCATTCATTTATTGATTAATTTTCTATATGACCTTTATTAATTTATTAGTCCCTTTATTAATCTGGAGTCGCCACAATGGAATGAACCGCCAATTTATCCAGGATATGTTTTACTCAGCGGATGCCCTTCCAGCTGCAATCTATCACTGGGAAATATCTATAAATACTCATTCACACACACACACTCATACACTACGAACAATTTTAGCTTACCCAATTGACCTATACCGTATGTCTGTGGACTGTGGGGGAAACCAGAGCACCCAGAGGAAACCCACATGATCAAGGGCAAAACATGCAAACTACACACTGCAATGTCAACTGACCGAGCCGAGACTAAAACCAGTGACCTTCTTGCCATGAGGCGATCCTGCTACCCACTGTGCCACCATGATGCCTTTCTCTTGGATATCATCCAAAAAAATAAATAAATAAAAATAAAAACAATTTGTGTTTTGAAGAAGAATGAAGGGGTTTGGGTTTTGGAATGTCGTGTGTGAGAAAAGACATTATTATAATTATCATTTTTGAGTGAACTAACCCTTTAAATCTTAAAAATTAGTTTAATGTTCCATGATGCATTAGGATGACTGTGACTTGAACCGTAGTGTCCATGTGCTGCTTACCATGTTGAATGATGCCATGCTCCAGCAGTCTGCGTCCCAGCTGCTCTGACTCATCCCTGTAGGGCATTTCTCCTTCCTGCAGGAGCCAGTCTATAAACTCTGAGGCCACCAGCGTCCGCTCATACATCACACCCTCCTCTGCACGTGTCTGCAGCAGATTGTTTTCAGTGTTCATCAACCTGCAGAGTGAAACAGTATACTTATTAACATGTCAGACTCACTGCATTTATAATTATGGGATCCTTCATCACAAAGTAGCATGCTTCGAGAAGTGGTTTCATCAAAACAAGGTCAAAGTTTATCAATGCTGCTAAATATGTCATCAAAAGAACAGCAACAGAACTTTCAAGATATGCGACATTCTCCTGTGTTTAAAGGCAGGTGCTGACGGGTCAAAAGCAAATGCTTTTCAAGCACCACTGACAAAGACACACTGTTTAGCTGTCAGCACACAACCACAGCTAAATAAAGATTGTATTGAGAGCTCTGGGTTGACTTTTCTTTAATTAGTATTCAAATTTATTGCTTTGAGGCTATTCAGACTTAAACATTGATCTTAAACTGCTTCCAGGATTCATATAATTTTTACCATGCCACATATCATTTTAATATCTGTTAGCTAATTACATAATTTCTAATGAAACTGTTATTATGCTATTATTAGCTAGCTTAATTATTAATATAATTACTGAAAACTACAGTGTGTTAGTGTAAAATGTTATATCTGATGTGATAAAAAAATCTTTGATGAAGTAAATACTACAGAATAAATATTTGTACATTAAGTAATTCAGATTAAGGAAGAATTAAAATAAAATGCTAAGTTCTTAATTCAAGCTTGTAAAAATTAAACAGAACAAAAAGGTATGTTTTACTTCTGTTATTCTGTGAGGAAATCAAAATGATACAATTTAGTAATAGTAAATAATATATATTAAACATCAAAATGATTTACAACAGCATTGTAGGATAAACATCACAAAATCATAAAAATACATACATATACATACAGAGACAGGGCAGAATTTAAACATAAGCAAGTGTAAATAGGTGCTTTTTAGTAGCAAAACTTATTGAACATTTTCACTAATTTAATTATTTTTATTTATTATTATTTTTTATGTAACTTGTGGATTTTAATATCATTCTTGACATCTAGAATTTATTATTTACTCAAACTTACCCATTCTTAAAAACTGACTGTTACTGTTCGTGTTTTGTACCAAATATAACATTTTTAACTTTGCTTATGAAAACTATGGCTGCGTCCGAAACCCCATACTTCCATACTATATGGGACGCTAAAATCAGTATGCGAGTCAAGTAGTATGTCCGAATTCATAGAATTTGAAAATCAGTATGCGAGAAGTTCCCGGATGACTTACTACTTCCGGCAGGATTCTGGAGTGATGCCATCCTGTGATGCCCTGCGAGCGAATTCATGAATGAGAGTAAGCGACGCAACTGACGCAGGTAGGTCACGTGACCATCACAAAATGGCGGATGTAGTACGTCCAAATTTCATTCATACTTTTTACATTCATACTGTATAGAACGTACTTTTCTAACGGCCGAGTAGTACATTTAAATTCAAATGCAGTTTCGAATTTCAGTTTGCGGTTTCGGACGCAGCCTATATAATTAATTCAATCATTTTCTTTTTGGCTTAGTCCCTTTATTAATCTGGGGTCGCCACAGAGGAATGAACCGTAATGCCCTTCCAGCCGCAACCCATCTCTGGGTCATACAATACGGACAATTTAGCCTACCCAATTCACCTGTACCACATGTCTTTGGACTGTGGGGGGAAACGGAGCACCCGGAGGAAACCCACGAGAACAAAGGGAGAACATGCAAACTTCACACAGAAATGACAACCGACCCAGCTGCGGCTCGAACCATTCTTTATTATAATATTTAAAAAAAACACAAAAAAATCTCAAACATGGATATATAATATAATAAATATAATATAATATAATATAATATAATATAATATAATATAATATAATATAATATAATATAATATAATATAATATAATATAATATAATATAATATTGGTGAAGCAGTGGCGCAGTAGGTAGTGCTGTCGCCTCACAGCAAGGTCGCTGGTTCAAGCCTCTGCTGGGTCAGTGTTCTGTGTGGAGTTTGCATGTTCTCCCTGTGTTCGTGTGGGTTTCCTCTGGGTGCTTCGGTTTACCCCACAGTCCAAAGACATGTGGTACAGGTGAATTGGGTAGGCTAAATTTTCTGTAGTGTATGAGTGTGAGTGAGTGTGTGTGGATGTTTCTCAATGATGGGTTGCGACTGGAAGGCCATCCGCTGTGTCAAAACGTGCTGGATAAGTTGGTGGATCATTCCGCTGTGGCGACCCCTAATTAATAAAAGGACTAAGCCGAAAAGAAAATGAATTAATTAAAATAAATAATAATTAAATTATATAAATTCCCCATGAGGGCCAGTTATTTTACAACCCTGCTTAAAACATTACAGAAACTTTCCTTAAAAAACATTCCAGTGTCATAGTCATATCAGAACTGAAAATTTAGGGTAACAAACACTAGCTCAAACCGCAAGCCAGCCATGTCAAAATTTTCAAGAAAAAGAGTCTGATGCAGCTGAAACAGCTTGAGCAAACATGGGCTGAACAAGGACACAGATGACTCAATATCAGTCAACATGCTGTGCCAGCAATATGAGCCTCCATATTAAATGTTTGCCGTGTACATACTGAGTCTATTCTTGTGCATTTCAAATTAAACTGCAATTTCAGATCGTTTGCAGTTGAGCAACCATTTATCAACGATCGACTTTTGCAAGAAAATGTGACATTGACCCATTTTCAAGCCTGTTTTATGATCATCACTCTCATTCGTATTTTTAGTTATTCTGTTTGAAGGTCACCATTTTAAACCACTGAAACCACAGATCTGGTTGCATTGCATGTTTGTTACAGATTTGTGTAAATGTTGTTTGGAGCTGCAGTTTTGTCTAGTCATGGGAAATCATATCAGGGCTCAACAATAAGGGTGGCCTGATGGCTTTGCATAAGTTAATAGAACTGTGATTTACCCCTTTTGGACTATGGTTTTAATGCAATTCATTTCTAAACAGATGATGTGAACTCTATATACACATTACAGATTCGCTCAGAATAAAACACAATATACTTTATGTTAAAGGGATAGTTCACACAAAACTGAAAGTTCCATCCTTATTTACTCATCCTTCACTTATTCTAAACCCTAAACACAAAACGAGAAATTCTGAAGAAAGCTGATTGGCAGCCATAGTATTCCATAATACATTAATTATAGATTTTAAGGTTAACCAGGTTTTATTAAGGACAGTCTTAAAGGGCTAGTTCTCACAAAACAGAATATTCTGTTGCAATTTATTCACGCTCATGTCATTCCAAAGACACGCGATTTTAGCTCATCTTTTAAACATGAATAAAGACATTTTGAAATACCAATTGGTAAGGGTTTAAATGATAAATCACCCAAATTTATAAACTTTCTCTCTTCTGTCCAGCACAAAATAAAATAAAATATATATATATCTTGAAAAATGATGTGTGCTGGGACCCATAGACTTCCATAAGTCTATATTCCATATTACCAATTATGTAAAGAAAGTAAAGGAGAAGTAAATAATGACATGAATTTTCATTCTCTTTAATGCATTTAGCCACACTCAAATATATATTTTTCTTATTTAGTAATGCTGCAACTGTCAGGGTTCTGCCACTCTGGTTCTTGTTTTGGTGGCAGAATCCGGACACTAGTCATGTCTAGTCCTGTTGTGCTCGGCTCGAGTTTTCTTGGGTCGAGCACTTGTTTCTGTCTTTGTGTGCGCGCATGCCGTCGTGGGTGTACGCAGTGTGCGCGCTCCCGTTTGATATGGCCGCGCGGGCTTTGCGTGCCTCGGACGCGCGCGCTCTTGTACTCGTATTTGTGTTTTCGTCTGTCTGCAGCGTGGTGTTTCATTCCCAGCGTCTCAGTCTAGTTGGTTTCGGTTTTGGTCGGCGCTGGGATGAAACATGCACGCTGCTTGTGTGAGCCACGGTGAGTGTTTTCATTCATCGTGTGCTCTTGTCTTGCGTCACGTGCTTTTGTCGTGTGCTTCAGTCTTGTGCTTATGTTGTCATGAACATGCGGTTAATGAGTTCTCTCATTGGCTGCATGTTCTTGTCCTGTTTATGTGAGCGCATGGCTTGTCTTGTCTCTGTGTCATGCACTCTCCCGTCTATTGTCTAGTCCCACCCTCCTTGTAACTCATTATTAGTTTGTCATGTTCACCTGTTTGTGTCAATTTACTATTGCTTTATAATCCCCTCATGTTTTCTGTTCTGTGCCAGTTCGTCATCGTTATTTCCATGTCCTGTGACATCCATTCCTGTTTGTCCTGCCAGCCCATCCAAGTTTGTTTGAGTGTTTGTTTTATAGTTATGTTTTTCCCCCTCGGGTGGTTTTTGTTGTCCTTTTTGTTTTATTTTTATTAATAAATACCATCTTCTGTTGCATTTGAGTCCTCGCTCCCTCATCCTTCCTGAAACCCTGACAGTAACTTCAGAAACTGGTGATAATAATATCTTTTTATTTCATTTCAGGTGAATTGGCATAGAAATACAGAATTTTTTCACCTTTATCCATATTATAACACCCCATTCTGTATCATCCGATCACAAAAAAAATAAAATAAATATAAAATATGCCCACATCTTAAGGCTGATTTATACTTCTGTGTTGAGTTTGGTCCGGCGCAGCCTTCGCTTGGTCGCATACCCCTCGCAGTGGCTGACGTGCAACTCTCGAAATTTTTTTAAGGGTTTGAAATAACATGAAGGCGGGTAAATGATGACAGAATTTTCATTTAGGGCTGAATAAACCTTTTTTAAGATGGCGTAATGCATCAAGACAGCCTGTCATATTGTGGGCTCATCTGCTTGCCTGTACACAAAATGCATCATGAATAAGGTATACAGTACTGTTTATTGAATCCGATCTTTTAATATCTCTGTCTTAAAGCATTAAGCAAATGTCATGTTAAACGATTTAGAATGTCCTGCTGTTTCTAGTGGATAAAATACTGCACCAGGTGCTTTATGTGCTACACAAGTGCCCAGAACTGTTTGTTCACATATTGTTTGTTGCTGTTGTTGATGAATTGATCTAG